CTCATCTGGGAGGGCTGTGGGAATGGCAGGCACAGTCAGGTCTGGAGCTGGGTGGGTGGGAAGTGGGGGGAAGCAAGTAGTGTCTGGAGTGCCTGGAGCTGGGGGGAAGGGGTGGATGCCAAAGGCTGGTCTGTGGTTTGTGATAATGGATGATGAAGACTGTTTTGATCAAGTGGGACTTAACAAACCTTTTGCTTCTCATTTTTAAGCTGCTTTGCAAAGTTTCTCAGTAGTTTTTTTTTTGTTTGTTTGTTTATTTAGGCTAATAGTGAACCTTTTTCTGCAGTGGAGTCTCTGCAGTGCCACATGGTTTCACCATGGATATTCAGACACAGAAACGTGCCCAAACCTTCCTCGCCACAAAAGGTGTACTAGAATTAGGTAACTGTTAGGCCCATTTTTCTTCCTTCTTTAGCCCTGGACACACTGCATTAATTATTTCTAGGGATGAACTTGGGGGCTGCTTAATAGCTTTGTTCACTAATCATGTAACAGTTTGTTCAGCAAAAGAGAAGGTAACAACTAATGAATAACAACTTCTGAGTTTTCTGAGAGTTTAGAAACAATTTTTTTTGGTAACTCTATGTGTCTTCTGTGGTCAGTTTAATTTACTGTTGACATATTGACTCATGTCCTTACCTTTCGTCTACAGAGTAATCATAAAACTGCACAATAATGGATGAACTGATAGGGAAGAAGATCCAATCAAAAAAAAAAAAAAAAAAGAAAAAAAAAAGAAAAAAAAGGAGAGAGAACAGGCAAACTTCAAACTCTTTAACTTGTTATTTCAAAACGGCAAGCAACTTCTAAAGCACAGGTCAGCTGGTACCGCTCTTATTGCTGTTACCATAGCAGAAACACAGAAATGTGATTAAATAAATAAAGCTAATCAGAAGCAAAAAACCAAGTTTGCAGTAAAAACAGCTCAAGTTAACCTATTCTCAGAGGACTTTGAAAGAAAACATACTTCTAAAGATGTGCTGTGAGAGATTTTAGGCACAGCTGCAGGAAAAAAAAGGTATCCTTTCCCTCTCTTTAGAAGGATTAAATCGGTCCTGGAAATTAAACACAGTGGACAAAGTTTCATACAGAAACAACAGATTGAAGCCCAGAATGTGAAAAGCTATGAGAAAGAAGAAAAATGTCCTGGAAAAAGGCTACTGGATCTTTTTAAGGAACTTTTATGACAGAGTAAGCAATCCAGGGACTTAATTCTATCTTTACTTGTCTCTTGTGATATGGAAAGTATCCTAAAAGGAATTTAAAAAAAAAAAAAAAGTTCTAGCAGACAAAACCAGATAACAGTTCCCTGGGCCTAAGTCTATAAATCTATAAAATATGTAAGTTTATATCAATCTATGGATGTCAGGCTGTTCCACAGGAGGTAATGTAACATTTGCTGAATTATAAAGGACATGAAAATGTCTGATCGCTGTACCTGGATGTGTAACCTGTCTCTTTAAGGCAGGTCGTCTGATCCCTCTACAAATGTTAAAGACTACCTAAAAAAGGAACAAAACCCAAGTCTTAATCTCCTGTATGTAGTATAGGGCAGCAATTGAGAGTACTGAGGCTTGATGTTTAGAACTAAAGTAGTTTACCTCTGAACTGGAATGAAATAAAAGGATGGAGTTATAAAGACCAGAAAGCATTACTAAGATCAACATTTTGAAATTAAGCTGTGGATCTGGGAGGCAGTTTTAAAGTCTGTTCCCATGGCTGAGCAGCATTCCTG